TCACAGTGGCCATGTATGTGCCTCAGGCCGATCAAGCCCTGGTTTCTTGGCAGGCAGGGCAGAAGCGAGATTGGATGTGCTCGCTCACATTGAGTGGACCAACAAATGATATCACACTGTTTCACTTGCAAGGTGTGTGCCATATTGACCACCACCAGCCCAAGCGTAGAGGCAGGTCGTTCAGCAGGGTAACATGGCACTGAATCAGCTGCTGCGTGAGGTTCCTGTGTGGACGGGCGGACATCAAATCGAGGCATGTGACTAAGTCCTTGTTAATCTAATTACTATTCACGTCTAGTTTTGTCAGAGATTGGGCAGTTGGGCATGCCAAGGCAGAACTTGAAGGGCAGATGAGCAGCTCAAGAAGGGGCAACCTGACTCTGCAGGCAGGGGAATTAGCTCTCCGCAAGGGCTATGTTTGGTTGAACAATGCAGACAGCTCGGCTTGAGCCCAAATTCAGCCAAGGTTGCGTCAACGCATCGGCCAGCTGCTTACTGCATCCACCATGGGTGTCGTGACATTTTAAGAGAAAACTGAAGTTGGTTTAAGATGTTGAATACATTTTGCAACTGAAATTCTTTGGCTCCAAGTCCACTTACTTTGCTTCACCTCACTTGGAACGATGCTGTAGAGTGGGGTGCTCCTGAAGAGGCAGGCAATGTGTGAAGTTTTTGTAAATCCCTTTGTGAAATGACTCCTCGGGACAGGTGCACTTGCGAGTCTCTAGCCCAAGCACTGGTCAGGCACAACGGCCCAACATCAAACCATGCCAGCAAATACCACTTGCGTGTTGCTAGGTGGAGACCTTTCGCATTCGGATAGAGCCCACCAGCCAGGCTGGAGACCTGGGGGAAGAAGTGTTGTGAAGGTGCTGTGCAGATCAATTGCAGATGTCGCAAGAGCATCTTTACTGTCCTTCCTGTGATAGAGGTCAGGTGGGCCAGGAATGATTCACTGAGACACATGGCTTTAAGTAGGTTGGGGGAATTATAGACAATGGGTTGCAAATATTTGTTTGAGGCTCGCACTGTTGGTGAGGGTCAAGCGGTTTGGGCCAGGTCGCATGTATTCCAGATGCGAGCGGCTGGCATCGGCCCCGGCTTGATTACAAGCCGTTGCAATGACAGTTTGTTCAAAACTTGTGAGCAAGAAACCAGCCATACATTCAAGTTGCCGAAATTGACTCGCTTTTTACTGCTGTCCTTGTCGTAGGTCTCTCTTGGAGCTCCTCCTGTTGGTTTTTGCCCTGGTTGCTTTGCTTTGGCTGTTGCTGAGGCGAGCAAATTGAATAGCTGCTAGCAAGATAGTGTTTCGGATTGGAGATGAATTTTAGAGTGTTCAAAGCCACGGAATTCATGGAATTAGAGTGCTTGAATTCCGAAGGATATGCAAATTGTTGTGCAGGTTGTGCACAAGAACGGCAGCTCCCAGTGACCATTTGGGTGCTGCTTTCCAGGGGGTTGGAGCTGGGCCTATCTTTAGCTTTAATCTCAGAATAACGTCGTGGAGAAACGGTTTAATCTGTTGCTTTAAGGATACGCCTTGCTTTCTGTGTATTCCTCAAGCAGTCAACGCAACTGTAGATAACCTTGAGGTGGTGATCCATTTGCTGGACCTCATGCTGCCGCTGACTTATGGTCACGGCATCGCAATCCAAGGAAAGTTGTTGCACGAAACATTGAAACCACGAGTCTTTTAACTTATGATTCAAGATTCAATTCCAAGGTGCCATTGACAAGTTGATATGCATGCCTGAGGCCTCGCCCTTCAATGCGCCGAATGCGCTTGGCATATGCCCCACAAATTTGCAGGGGTTGAAATTTGATGACATCCATGCAAATGACAGATGAACTAAGGTTGATATTTATTATGTCAACCTGCGCAAAAAGGCAAATATCTATAATCATTGATCATCATTGATGTATATTAATTTACAATTGATATGTGTTGATCTATGTATGTCTCAGTGCTTCATCCCATTTTATGTCATAGAGTCATACATATATCCCGACGAGCTCACGTTAGTTAGACTCTGTGTTTTTTTGAGTTGGACTTCTATAACTTGGTGTGTTTGTAGGGGTTGCGGGGTTCCTTACTTTTCACATCCAGTTGAAATGTAGAATGCTGAAATCACACCTTGTCACCTTGTCTCAATCGGAGCTTGGTTTCCGCACTTCCCACGTTTTCTGCTCCACTGTTCCTCTTGCACACTTGCAATGTTGGATCATGTTGGACCACTTTTGGATAAGGAGAGCGCAGCGTTCATCGATGCCGGGACATGACATTCGGAGCCACCTGCTGGCCGCGCTACAGCTGATTATATATTCTGCCTTCACCCTGCTGTATTGAGCAGAACACCGAAAGCAGCTTTAGTAGCCCAAAACTGGAAAGCCTTCTGATTGTGTCTTTCAAACGAAGAAATGACATGACCCTCGTAAGCCACGTTTAGCATTTTATAGCGCTTGTCGAGAATTGTTTATTCAGCCTCAGCATTAGCTTGCAAACGAGATAGGGCCCCTCAGAAACGAAACAATTACCTTCATTGATCCGATCTATTTGGTCTTCGTTTAAGCTTATAATAGAGACATCACCGTAGGATGGTAATTGAGTTAGATTCCAAGCCTCGCGTGCGGATACACTTGCGTCTACACACTCAATGCGCTATTTTCGTGTAATCAGTTGTCTTATCTTCCCGTGTGCACACAAAACCAGGAGACAGTCAGGGAAGGAAGAAGAACATTCGCAGGAAATGCAGCGAACCTCCTCAGCCCAACCTTACCTGTATGTTCGCCACTTGGAGTCCATTACGCAAGCAGTTTTGCCATCACGATTATAACCAAGACAAGATCAGCTGCAACAAACTAGCTGCAACATAGGCACTAAACTTTGGGTAAAGAGAGGGGAACAATAAAACAAAATAGCTTTGCTATCAACTCAACAGATGTGCCATAAGAAGGCTGGGTAAGTCAAGTTGTGTAAAGGGAGTGAATGTGAAGGAAACAGTAACAAGGCAATAACAAACACGACAATTGTACTTTGTCTCACTCTTAAATTTATGAATGAAGACAGTTTGTGAAGAATGAACATGTAAGAGATAGAGATATAAAAGAAGCTCGAGGAGACAGGAACAGTGAAGCAAGAAAAATAGCTGTACACGTTGAGTGAGCGCAATCACTCCTTAAAGCCTCACGCAAATGTTTATGTTTCAGTATAAGTTGTTTGATTTCTTCCTGGTTCTTTATTCCTGGGGATTGCTTCAGGAAGCGGACGAAGCCAAGGGAGACAAGAGGCAGGAAAACAAGTATAGAAAGTGTAAGGAGTTATGTCATGTTTGGTTGCATGATTGAATACGTTGCCTTCGGAACCGCTTCATCCTCTCCAGTTTCATTTCATTCTTACTTTCAGGGTTCCTGCATGATAAACTGAAAAATTGTAACATTGTATTAGTATCATTGATTCTCTGTCTAAAGACCTTGCCCATGTTAACGGCAGCGATTCGAATACAATTTGTTCAGCAGTATGATTGCCGATCAACTAGCTATTCGGTTGGCCCATTTATGAGATTACAAGATAAAGCACCCATTGGGTTCTTCCGGGGTGGAACTTCACTTTGGCATGCGGGCCTGTTTAATAGGACAAATCCAAATCCATACTGTAATAGGGGATGCTGATTTCTATGCATTACCCCTGATCAATACAAAGAACTCTTGATTCCCCTTTCATGATGTTCCCCTTACGTCCGACCGTTTGCTCTCGCTATCGTCCCTGGCCACTCTCAAGTTCATACACACCTAGAGAAAGAAAGTACGCCCATACGGAGGTCCAGGCTTTGAAAACGCCGAAAGCAAAATGGCGGCAAAAGGTCAAGAGGAAACTGAAAGAAATCAACTCATCGAACTCATCTTCTTGGCACTCCAAAACTCATGCTTTTTGAGCAAGCTACACAAACGCATCATGGTGAAACCAACACAATCTCAGCCGTACCAAAGAGGTGGTCGCGACCACCGCACATAAATGGCAATGTGGAAATTTCACCTATTTTTTGCAACCTGCCGTGCATTTTGCTTCAGGGGCTTATTTTAATAGTGGCCTCAGACAGACCCGCTTGCATGCACTAATTAGATGTATATTGACATAACATATATGAATACGCATCTATAGGTTCTGTACGGAAATATTGCCAGTGTTTTCTTAGCGTGGGAAGTTTTGAACTTTGCACGTTGCACTAGCAATTCGTTGCAAAAGAAACCAGTCATCAACAGGATTATGTACTTGTATGGCCTACCCAAGCCAAGTTTGTCCCAAGAGGCTTTGCCCATGTTCATGGTGCGGATATTATATGTTGCAGGTTTGCAAAACAGCAACTGGCAACAAGCGAAAGCGAGAAGCGCACTTCGACCTAAGCAGTCTGTTGTTTTCCCTAGATGTCCAGATCGACAAGGTGGATCAATCAGGAACCACAGGAAGGTTGCTTTGAGGTGTGACAACTTGTGGCAGTATTGGCAGTCCTGTTAGCCGGCGACGTATATGGAATACAACAATGGACTCTCTGAGGCCATAAGATCTGGCTTTGTCGCTGCTGTTTTTGTATTTTGCTCAAGCGGTGAAGTCGGGAGTTCTTTCCAATAGCGGCCTCAAAGAACGGGAGGCACAAATGCCGCACAATGTGCATCATATGCGCCATTTGCACCTCTCGTGCTTTGAGGTCCGCCGTTTGGAAAATAGACTATAGATGGTGCAGCAGTAGAATGAGCGGACACCTCAGCTAGAGTCCGGAGTTCTTGTTTTATCGGCTCGGCTACACCTGAATCGTGTTAAGCAAGTTGACCTCGGCCCAACTTGTTGAGATTCGAGAGCAATTTGCTTGGTGGCAAATGTCCATTTGCTCAGGTGCCGGTGGCAAAGTCTTTGAGGTTGCTGAGGAGCCTGAGCGTTGTTTGACACACTGCAGCCCCTCATGCATGCAGTGCAACCAAAGTTCTGCACTTCTTCACTCGCCAGACATTAGGTTGTCCAAAGTGTGCAGCCTAGTTGTCCAAAGTGACAAGCCCTTGATGTTTTCATCCAATGCATTTGCCATGGCTTATGATTCCCGCTGCATCATCTTCCAGAAATGCATGGGCAAATTGTTGGAAGGCATCTAGGCAGTTTCCATGCATGTTCATTATATATCATGGAACTGGCTTGTTGGAGGCCATGTTGGGATACCAGATATCATTTCAAGACCTCGGACGGGATACAATCAATTCGTTGCTGCAGGTGCCTGCCTCCACGGAGACATGGAAAGACTGCGGAAGCAGTTCTTTAGCTGAGTTGGCGGACGTTGTTTGGTAAGGCTTGAAAAAAAGCTCGACGGCACACATGGTATCGTCTCCCTCCATCCTCCATTGCCATAGCCATCATAAAGATGAGCTTCTTTGAGTGATGAATTGGTAGGAGGCTCCATCAAACGTGCCCTGAAAATGTAATTTGCTTTTGAAATCTTTTGACTGGAAATAAGGCTCTTGGCCTTGGTCGAGTTGCACCTGGCCGACCTATCTCATTTGAAGAGTCAACAATCCTTGGCCGCGTTCAGCGAAACACTGTTTGCCGTACCGAACCTAGTTTGTGTCTCTTCTATTTTGGTCAGACAGTACACTGTACACTTAACTTTTTAGACCGTTAGGCTCTATCTTTGTTACAACATCTCAGGACAGCCTGATGTTTATGGACGGTGGACAACTTGTGGAGACATTGCAAGCTCAATGGGAAATCAGCTGCACTCATGGTTACATCATCACATTGCTTCGCACCAGAGCCCGTCTTGTGGAATATGAAAACTCAGATCTTCAGCATCTCGTTGGGCCAATCGTTCACGCAACATATGATTTGGCAATCCTTGATCTTGACAAGGCTGCACTTGAGCATCGGGTGCGTTTGGCAGCAAGATCTCGCTCTTTGAAAATAGCATGTCGAAGAGCTTTGTGCTGCGTGGTGTTTGCGGCACTTGGTACATTGCTTGGCAGATTTGGCAGATGAAATTCTGGCACAAGTTCCTGGGTGCTTTAGAGTGGCAAAGGAATGGCTAAGGAGCATACGGGACTGCCACAGTATGCCACAGTAGCAGCTAGTAGCTGTATGAGTTTCACTGGAGAATTGCTGGTGGACATGACACTTGTCCATGTGGATCGTGTTTGCCTTGAAACTCTAAAAATTGGGTGTCCGTCAATCACTTTGCGCGACTCCTGTTGATTGCTTGCCAAGACTCTCCGATGGGAGTGTTGAAGTCCTGCTTAGCCATTTGGCTCGACGCTTGTGCAGGAGACAGATAGGAAGAAAGCCTTGAGCGATGGCTGTTGGAGAGCCACGGTTTGGGAAGAGTGCCAATCCCTGCCAACAAAGTTCAGAATGTTCAGACGAACATCCAAGTCGTCTCGAGTTGCAGACGCAGCCCGAGGCTCCAAATGCCATCGTTGAGCATCAACAGTACGCTTTGGGATTCTGCACAATTAAAGTCTTTGCAGCAAGGACCGAAGCTTTCTACAAGGCCTTGCGAGACATTGCCCAGTACCTGCCACCAGAAGGCGATTCTTCAATTGAGGCCATGCAAATGGTCACAGCACAAAGGAAATGGATGTTCGATGTTGGATGCGCTGTAGGGCAGGTGGTAGGTACCTTCTACCAGCTGGAGAAGAATACTTTGATGGAACTTCAAGTGATGTGGGAGACGGGGCAAGGAAATTTGTCTGTGAAAGGCATGAAAAAGAATTTCCGTGCAACAATCAAGAATTTGATGATGTTGACAGAATATCGCAAGGCAGCGCAAGAGAAGATTGACGAGTGCAAGAGCTTTGCCAATCAAATGGTGATATGGAAAGGACAGGAGCACAAGATGCAGCATGCTGTGATGGAGCTGTTGGGAAACTTTGGTGGCGGAGAGCAGTGTAAGGCACTGCTGCGTGACTTGGACACGCGAAGCAAGGACCTCTCTGCAGCTCTGGAAGAAGAGAAGAAGGTAGCAAATCAGGTAGCAGAGCTTAGCGGCAAAAGGGAGGAGCTCCATTGCAAGTTCCTTGTCTATGACAGCATTGCAGCAAATGAAACGGGCTCGTTGACTACCCTGCAAGAGCGCGCCAAAAAGGCAGATGAGATCGCTGCCCAAAAGGAAGTGGACGCAGCAGAAACCATGGAGAGCACGCGCTGGGGCAGGCTAGGCAGGTGGTTTATGGAGTGGACTGACAGCAAGGTCGATGTAGCAGCGTGGAGGGCAGAGCGCTTCAGAAGTATTGCCAAAGCTGCCAAACAAGCCCTTGGAGATCAACAATCGCTGACACAAATGGCCGCTCAAGAGGCAGGTGTTGTAAAGGGTGAGCTCACCACTGTAGAGGTGAAGCTGAAGGGGGCCAAGGAGAAATTGAAAGAAGCTGCTCAAGCAACAACAGATGCCAGGATTCAACTTCGCGAATTGAAAGCACGGTGCCAGGAGTTGAGGAAAACATTTGGTGGCCTAGACCTTCAGCAGATTGGCTCGTTGAGGGACCACATGCAAAACTTCCCTGAACTTTTGGGAGCACAGGGCATGGAAGACCATGGCATGTTTGCTTCAATGGAAGGTGCACTGAAGCAGCATGAGCGGTTGGTGAACCGTATGGAAACATTCCTGGAAGAGGAAGATGATCAGGAGTGCATCAGAATCTTGAATAGTTTGCGCTCGGTCATTTGCAAAGCCATCGATGATGCACAGTTCTTTGCTGAGCGGCTCAAACCTCTCCAGGACAAGATTGTGGCGCGAATGAACGCCCTGCCACTGCCAGATGCTGAATGCAAGGCAGCTCCTAAGCCCATGGAGCATGAAGAGCATGCTTCCAGTGATGACTGGGAGCGTGTGACCTTGTCTGCAGACGATGCCTTGTGGTGAGGCCAATTACCCTGCACATTTGGCGCAGAGTCGGCTATAGCAGTTGGTTGAGACTGCAATGTGCAGCTAAGCTCGACATGCGCGGCAAAGTTCGCTATGGCTCGTTCCCAAATGTTTTGATTTTGTTCCTTAGGTCCTAAGGTTTCCTGCAGCTATCGTGTACTGAAGCTATGCGAAGCATAAGGTTTCCTGGCCCAAGAGTAGTTTCCGGCTCAATGTATGTTTATTGTAACCCAAATGTCATAGTTACTTGCTTGGACAACTTGAGCTATGGAAATTGTTCTGATAAATGTGTGGAGCGTTTCGCAGAAAGCTTTGCTGGAAAATCTAATGCACATCGGGTTTGAAATGATTCTATCTATTGATTGCATGTTTCTCTTTCAAGTTGTGGTTCGATAGGTATGGCTGAGTTGGGATCCCAGGAAGGACGGTTTGATTGGAGGATTGCATCAGAAGATTAAGGCCATGAAAGCGTTGCATCCATAGGGTTGTAGCTTTAATGATGTTTGATGATTGGGTAGTAGTGCTTGGCTGGTGCTTGGATGTTTCGCAGGTGTCCGATTCTAATTAATTTGCTTGTGCGAAGCGTATCATGAGCGTCCATTGCAAGGGTGATTTGGCAGGGCAACATTGCATGGAGTCAGCTGTTAAGTGAGGTTCCTGTGTGGAAGGGCGGACATCAAATCGAGGCCTGTGGCTGTAATGTCCTTGTTGATCTAATTATGATTCGTGTGTAGTTTTGTCAGAGTTTGGGCATTTGCAGAGGCAGACCTTGAAGGGTAGATCAGCAGCAGCCGGAGAAGGAGCAACCTAACTTGGAGGCCGCCAGGACCACCTGAGGGAAGAAGTGTTGTGCGCGGAATGCTAAACAGCGTCAAGACTGTCCCTCAGCTAAAGCAAATCAGACCCGCGATCTAGACTGGGCACGGAAGTCAGAAACCGCGCTACAGCTTGGACCAACACTGGGAGGCCCGGATCGGATGAGAACCAACACAAGGTTTCACCCTGTTACCCGCCACCAGAAAACGGTCTTCAGCAAAAAAGGATAGAACACGCAGTCAACCCCACACAAAAGTCCCATTGTGCTTGTTGCTGCGGACTGCAGGAAAGCATTGCTTGCACAATCGAAGCTTGGCGAAAGTGGCCGAGCTCACCTAAAGACTGACATCAAAAGTCAATCAGTGCCCCACCACCAAACCATGTAACCAAGAACAGCAGTCAAAATAGAGCTTAGCCAAACTAGCATTATAGGCGCAGCAAGTTTCCAATTCTGAAACTGTCAGAACTTCTCAATTTTCTTGCCCATCGCTAGATCGTTGCTATCTCTTCACAAACTTCCTGCCATTCTCTCGGGTCAGCCCCGATTCATCAACCTCCACTGGATCAGAGTTTGGTTGGCTTTGACTCTCCACCAGAGACTCCGCATCTCTCTCCACCACTTCCAAGCACGTGGCAGTGACCAAGCAAGTCTTCCGCAATCTTCTTTCCAGCGTGTGACAAACTTCCCGCCGGGTTCGTTTCCGCTACGGCTTGATTGAATTGTTCGTTTGCACACAGCGAGAAGCTAATTTGATCTATGAAAACGGGATGCTCCACGGAGGTTCTCGTTTGTTGAAAATGCAACCCTTCCATGGTTCTGGTCTTGAAACAGGACGGTCTTTTTCGAAGCTATTGTTGGTTTGAAACGCCGAACGGACACCACTTGCAGTACTATACTATACTATACTATACTATACGTAGATCATCGTAGATACATTTTTTTCCTTCCCACATTCAGAGCTTGCGAAGCTGCTGCGCTGTCTGAGCAACCTTTGGGTTCCGATGTCCCGTCTCCATTGAAAGGATCGACAGTATCGCCACAGAGCTGGATTGCATTTTTCCTGTTTTAATGGAACCCCAGCAGCTCGGCCGGCTCGTTTGAGCCATGCCCAAAATGCATCAATACTTCCCGTGTGCACTTGCACACGTTGCGACATCCAACAGCGTCATCCTGTAAGTCAAACGGTCCATGACTCTGGAAACGAGGAAATTATGGTACTAGAACTCTACAAGTATGACTCAGTATGACCATCATCAGGATGTTTCTTTGCAATAATGACTCTCTACGATATGATGCAAGGTATGACACGGTGTTTTTCGGTACGTGCTGCACGACCCTTGTTACATTTGCAACTGACTTCCACAGGAACGTCATTTTCCCGCCCACACCCACCCCACCCACCCACCCCTCCAACTCTCTTCTGACAACACGTTTCTGCATGTAGTATCAATCCGATACCCAAACCACGTGTGCAACGTGCTATTTAACACCGAAGAACGTGCACCGTGTGCACAAAGTGCAAAGACTATTGAACGCACAGCAAACATAGTGTTCCAAAGTGCAACAAGTGAACATCAAAAATGCAAATAGCCCAAATGTGGGCGGGTAACAAAGCCGACAGCACAAACCTGTTCCAGACTCTCGCCAACCAGGCTGGACACCGACGATTGGCGAGCCGACGGCACGGTTCACGCACTGCTCCTTCACTATGTTAAAGCCCCAGGCAGCTAAAGTTATCTCAGGCTCGACACTATTATCACAAGTGCCATCGGAGAAGATGTTGATGACTGGATGACCTGATCGCGGAATAGCTCCTCTCTAGAGCTTCCCACGCCAAGATTTTCCAGAGGTTGGTTGGTGTGTTTGGATCTGAACATTGTCTTCAGCTCCACAAACATCACTCACACGAGGCACACAATCTCGGAATCTCGGATCATACCTTGACTTGTCGTGCAGATTTGTGAAAAGGACTCCTTCTTGCACTACATTCAGCAGTCCAATTTCGCCAGAGTGACACACATGGAACAAGCAAAGAGATCACTAACTATACTGTACATAATGTTAACTTCGCATTTGTAAACCCCCTATTGAAAAGATATGGTTGTCGATCTAAAGGTCCTAGACAGCATTGTGTATGACGATGACCCGGAACATATCAAAATCTCATTTGGCAAAAGTTTTTTCTCGAGTTGGCGAAAGTACTTGTTTTTTGCGAAAGATCTGTCGAAAGATTAAATATGTACTTTTGTATGAATGTTTACTTGCTTCCTGAACAGACAACTCAGAAGTTAGATGAGTTAGATCACCTGCTGTTGCTGCGGCTGCTACTACTACTACTACTATTACTACTACCACTACCACTACCACTACCACTACTACTACCACTACCACTACCACTACCACGACTACGACTACTACTACTACTACTACTACTACTACTATTCGGGGGTGGCTTTGCCACAAAAATATACCCCGCAAAAGGCGAACGTTTGGCGAAAGTTCAGCTCAAGATTGGCGAAAGTTCACCCTGCCACATCTGACCCCCAGCCCATTATGAGTAAGTTTGAGTGACCGGCTGCTACAGTGATTCTTGCAATCCCAGGAGAAACAAAAGAGGCGTACAGGGTGTCAACAGTTAAGTAGAAGACACATGCTGACAAACAGTGAAGCTTCGTGAGCAAAGCACAACATACATGGCACACATAAATACAACATACTTCGGCGAAAGATAAAACGCAGGAAGGCAAAAGTTTGGCTAAAGTAATTTTTTTCGGCGAAAATGACGGATCCCGGATAAAGGAATTTAGATCAACTCCCATATATTATTTTTGTTTGAGGTCAAAAATCTCAATCGCAATGTAAACTTCCAGGCCATCTTTAGCAAAAGGAAAGGAACAGGAGCAGAACAAAGATAGGAGACATTAAAAGCAAAAGGGAAAGCGCAAGATAACCACAAAAGTATGCGCACAGACGGCAAAGCCCGTAGGCTTCACTCGCCCAAGGCCAAGCAGAATCCAGCACGACTATTGTGTGTAGCATGCTGAAACATGCTGAAGCAATGGTCGGTTGAGAGCCTCATGTTGCGCATGGCATAGAACATTATACCTACAAAAGTATGCGTGCAAGCCGTACAGCCCTTGACACAGCTGTCGGCCAAAACAGAACCTGAAGAGTGTAAATACCCCACAGCGCTAATAGACAAAGAACGCTCAAGCGAGAACACCGTATGATGTTGCGTGCGTAAGTTCATGCGGCCCATGACTGCTGGCACCCAGCACCGGCACCCTGTCTCCACCACGCGCGCAGCCAGCGCCAGGAGGGGTATATCGGCACCCTGTCTCCACCACGCGCAGCCAGCGCCAGGAGCGGTACCCCGGCACCCTGTCTCCACCACGCACAGCCAGCACCCAGTGCCGGCACCGGCACCCTGTCTCCACGCAGCACGCAGCCAGCTCACAGCACCGGCACCGGCACCCTGTCTCCACCACGCGCACAGCCAGCACCCAGCACCAGCACCAGCACCCTGTCTCCACCACGTGCACAGCCAGCTCACAGCACCAGCACCGGCAAACTGTATCGAAAGCGCACACTGGCAGCTCATTGTTAGTTGAAGTAATAACCCCATAGGTTCGCTATTTGGGGAAAAAGGATCCCACGAAAGAACAAAAAGAAAGAAGAAGAAGAAAAAGAAGAAGAAGAACAAAAGAAAAGGCACTGTAGATGTTTTAAAGGCTTGCCTGAGATTTCTGAGACGCAAATAAAAAAAGAAAGCTTTCTGAAGGCAAATTGGGATCTGAGAGAAAAAATTGATTCTTATTGTTGCATGTTTATAATTGACTGGCCAAACTGTTTATCAATTTTGGGGTCTGGATGTTGGCGCAATTAAAAGTAGTAGTGCAAAATCCTGGCAGACCAAAACCAGATTATTATTGGTGCATGGTTTATAGATGTCAGGTTAACATTACTCCTTTCATTTGCTCAGGCGACATGCCATGCATAGGGGCCAGAAATGTTCAACTAGGCCCTGACGCAAGCCCGAAGTTCTACAATGCTACAACACAAAAGGGGACGTTCAAACCAGTCAGTGATATGAGCCGCCCCAAAGGCCACCCAAGAAAGAGCAGTTTGCCCTAGCAGTTTGGCAAAGGGTCCACGCACTTCTGAACATCGATTCGAAAGGCTAAAATTCCTAAGAAAATTCTGAGTTCGCCGCAAGTTGCGGAACAAACTGTTTGACAACTTTCCAACGCTGCCAAAAGACCTGGACCAATTCTGGCTGTGCGCAGTAGTCCCGACCAAACAAGTGGATTGTCGGTATTCTCGGAGGAGGAAGTCAATTCCATCATAGTGACGCAGCTGAGGGGTCCCCTCTGAGTAACCAGTATATGAGGTGACGCCCAAACTGCATGACCCAAGGCCCAAGGGGAACAAAATGATGCATCAAGCTACCAAGGAAGGGACCCTTCCCAACAAATGTTTGCACTTTTACGGCCACAAACAAAACCATACTGTCCAGAGTCAAGTTTGGCAGAGAACCAACCAACCACTCAGCAATCCTAGCAAGCTGCCTCACACCGTGAATCAGCTCAATCTGGAAACGGCCGGTGTCCAGAGCGCTGTCCTGGGATTCCTGCACCTTGTATAGTCTCTAGGCGATCGAACGATGCACCTCAGCACCGGGAATACGCCGAGGAAGGCTCCCTGGTGACCCTGGTGAGCCTTGAAGCTTTTCATCATGCTTGCCTGGCCAAGCGGCCTCATCACTTTGCTTTTTGAATCAAGCGCAGACTGCAAAGATTGAAAGCGAGGAACCTGAACAGACCAAAGTCGCGCACTTCGACTAGGGCACCGGAGGTTTGA